TGACCTCATGGCATGGATACTTAAATATTCTGTCACTTCTAATAACCTCGGTAGTCTCGAACATCAAGATTTTTTGCACTCTCTGCCATCATCAAGCACAAGTACAAGATCATGTTTCCAAAATACACATATTCTTATCCTTTAAGCTCCCAATGAGTTTTTGTTTACAAACAGAGTTTTAAGCTCTATTGTGAAATAATAAAACCGACAGATGTCTGTCTGTTTGACTCAATGCAATTTCATTTCGAAATTAAACGTCACCAATTAAACAAACCAATAGTTTTATCGCACACCAATGTTTTGTGGCATTTGAGGACAAATAGCATGAATGAATATCTCAGAATTGAAAGTTGCCAAACAACGTTTTCCGTCGTTTTAAAGACATAAATATAAGGCACAAAGGTGAACTCCTGATTATGGTCGAGCGCGAAACGGACAGTAAAAGGCTGGAAGACCTCAGTTTTGAATTACAAATTCAAATATATCAACTGAAGATATTTTGGTATCTGAGACAAAAGGTGATATTGTTTAGTTTTAATTACTCGGAGATTGTCACGAATTCAATTTTCTCCAAAACTGGATAACATTTCTGGGACAACATTTTCTTTCAACTTTAAGTTTTTTGAGGTTGATAATGATTCTTCTCAACTTCAAACAAGTAAGCTTAATAACCTATCCTGGTAATAAACGTTTATTCAAGTATTAAAGAATTGAGTATTTGTCGCGCTATGAAATAAGAATTTTAGAGATGTCTTATCAGTTGCCTCATTTTGCCAATTTACGCCTGAGGTGCACGCAAAAGGTCTAGACGAGAAATAAACATTTTACCTCACAGCTGGGGTTCTCCTGTACTTTAATACTTTATCACAACAGGAAGTCTTACATAGTAGTGTTTCCGTGATGGTAGCTGGGCGGGTGCTGTTGAAACGAAATTCTTCTCGTTGCAATCACAAGTAACCCTCAAAAAAAAACCACAGAATGATTGAGACAAACAATTTAACAGAAGGTGAAATACAGATGAAAACCTTTCAAAAACTGGTATGTTCACCCTCTTTTACAGGTGGTTTACAACAACAATCGATTCATCTCGCAGTTGTAAATATGATCCTCTCCCTCACAGCATTTCTTGGGAATTCTCTCATCCTTGTTGCCCTTCACAAAGAATCCTCCCTTCATCCGCCATCCAAACTCTTGTATCGTTGTCTGGCAACAACTGATCTGTTGGTTGGACTTATTAACCAGCCTCTCTATGCTATTCATCGGATGTCCATTGTTTATGAACATTGGAATCTTTGTCGATACACAAGGAGCGCCGGCTACTTAACAAGCTATACATTATGCGGAGTATCTTTGTCGACAATAAGTGCCATAAGTGTGGACAGACTTCTCGCCCTTTTGCTAGGGCTGAGATACATACAGATTATAACTTTGAAGCGGACATATATTTCTTTGGCTGTCGTTTGGATTTTATCTGGTGTAGCTGCGTTATGCTATATTTCAAATTATCGAATAACCTTATGGTATGGATATATCTCTGTTCCGTCATATTTAGTAATCTCAATCGTCTCGTACACAAAGATTTCTTTCACGCTAAGCCATCATCAGGCCCAGGTACATTTTCAACAACAGGCGGGCCAAACAATTGCATTGAACATTTTGCGATACAGAAAGGCAGTGAATAGTGCATTGTGTGTGCTTTTAGCTTCAGTTGTTTGTTATGCACCGTATATCATACTTGAAATTGTGACGGCTGGTAAAAAAACATTTTCATCGCATTTAATCAACACCAGAGAAATAGCGATAACCTTACTTTACTTCAACTCCACGTTAAATCCATTTCTTTACTGCTGGAAGATTAGTGAAGTCAGACAAGTAGTAAAGCAGACAATTAGACAGGCACTTTGCTGTCCATGGAGTTCGGACAGTTAGATCTTCCACGATCGAATCATCATTTCATTTGTCATTTCAAAACTGACTCATAACGTTACGGTTGCTACAGGACAACGCTCGTCGGTTAGGTGAGAACATCG